TGCTGCTTGGCCTGCTGTGTTCATCCAGCCCTGCACCTTGTTGTCTCTAGAGTACTGTGCATTGTTTTAGTTTTCTTACTTAATAAAGGCTGATAATTTCAATAGAAGCAGTTCAAAGAAGCTTCACAAGGCTGATTTCTGGGATGAAGGGGTTATCTAATTAACAAAAGTTGCACAGGCTGGGCATATTCCCCATTAATGTTAAGAATGAGAAATATCTTAAAATATTGAGGAGGCTTGACAGGATAGATGCTTAAGATTCTGAAGATGAGTCATACTAGACTCAAACTGTTAACTGTTTCTCTTGCCACAGATGCTGTCAGACCTGATGAGTTTCTCCAGCACATGAAGTATTTTACCTTCAGATGCTGTGGGGAATTTATAACTAGGGTATCCAGTTTAACATAAAGAGCTTGCCATTTGTGTAACAGATTAGGAAGAATTTCTTCTTTCCAAGTCGTTAATCTTTGGAATTCTCTTTCAGAGCAAGAGTGGAGGCTGGGTCATTGAATGTAGTCAAGGCTGACTTAGAGATTTTTGACTGATTTTTGACAAAGGAGTCAAACGGGCAGAAAAGTGAAGTTAAAGCCACCATCAGATCAGTCGTGATCTTATTCGATGACAGATCATGCTTAAAATAAAAGAATCCTACTGACCATATGCAAAATATACATGATTGCCAGGTAGAAATCCTGAAATTCCCTTCCTAACAGCACTACGGATGTTCCTGCACTGGGAGACAAAACTATTGGCAGCACATGAACCAGATAACCTGGAAGGCAAACCTCCCCCACCTTGCAATGGACAGGCCTGTTTATTAGACTGTCGTTAAACTGTGTCTGACTTTATTCCCATACAGTTAGCAGTACACGATTTCTGTACCTTTGCTGCAACCTTGGGCTATTCCATTACTAACAGACAATTCAAGTAAGATTATCAATAAATATTCATGCAGTATAATACTTCAGAGTTGACAACTAGTTTTAGTCAGCAGTACATAAGAATTAGTAATAGGCCTTTTCCTAATAATTGTGTGGAAACTGCCAACAGTCAATTACACTGGACTTAATACAGTTTGTAATCATCAACTTGCAAAAGAAGGAAAAAAAACTGTTCCTTGACTTCTAGCCACGACTACTGCAATACATTTGTGGCTAGTCTGTGCCATACTACCACGCTTTACCCTTACTCTTCAGCTGTGCTTATCCACCACATGTGCAAACTGAATTCACTGGTTCAGTCAAGAAATACTGGATTTTATTATTCTTATTTTTGTTCAAATACCTCTAAAACCTCACACCTCTATACCTCTCATCTTCTTCAGCACCCCTATAAGCCACCCATGATATGTAAGCCCAACTGTTTCTGCTGTCTTAAGCATCCTTGATTACAGATTCTTCATCACTAATGGCCACACGCCTTCAGCTGCCTAGTCGTCAGCTCTGGAGTTCCTTTCCCAAACGCCTCTGACTCCCTTTAAGGTGCTCCTTAAAATCCAACTCTGACCAAGCATTTGGCCATTTGCACTGATATCACCATAAGTGATACAATCTCTAATTTTGCTTTAAATGGACATGAAGCACTCCAAGACTTTTTACTACATGAAATATGCCTTATAAATCTAAGTTGTTACGGTGTTCTGATGATAATGTTAGGTATTACACAACCAAGTAAAATGCTAAATATTCAGCCAGTGTCAGATGTTCCAAGATTTAATTGGGTCATCAATAACATCAAAAGACTGTGAAACTTCTTTCCATGCATAATGTTTATGTTATTGGATTAGTAATCCAGAGGCCCAGAATAATGATCCAGAAACATGTTCAAATCCAATCACAGTACCTGAGGAATTTAGATTCAATTATTTCTACCTGGGAATTTTTAAAACAAAACTAGCAATGGTGACCATGAAACAGCAGATTATGGTAAAACTCCAAGAAGTTAATCAATATCCTTTCAAAAGGAAGATCTGCCATCTTTACTACTCGTCTGACTCTAGACCCTCAGCAATGTGTTACAGCCTTCTGAAGTGGCTAAGCAAGACACTCAGTTATATTTCAACATAACACCACCTTCTTAAGGGCAAATGAGAGAGATAAATGCTTATCTTCTCAATGATACATGGAGCCCATGGAAAAATTAAAAAAATACTCAGTGGCAAGAATGGGAACTCATGGCCACAAAAGTAGTTGGGGGAAATAAAAGCCAAGATGCAAAGGAAAAAGGAATAGCAGTACACGGTGATTGCATTAAGTCAAGTTCATGTGGAGCAAAAAGAAAGACTTATATAATGCTTTTTCAGAACCAGACATTCCAAAGTGCTCTGAAGTATAGTCACCATTTTCACACAGTAACAAGATTCTAAAAACTACCCGAATGCTGGGAGATGTCATGAGTTGGCATAGTAGCAAGAATACCAACAAAACAAAAAGCTATAATAATAAAAAAAATTTGCATTAAATTCTTGCATACATATTATCAAATTAAACCTGTACTGACAAGTTTAAATAATCTTACCCAGCTTCTTTTCAATCAATGAGTTGTCAGTGAGAGCGATGCGCTGATGTTTAATTTTTCCAAACCCACGTTTGTAGATCAGTTCACGAACAGATTTCAGATTTGGATATCTAGAAAATTAATACAAGTAACAAGGCTTGTTTAAAAACGTTACCATCTCAAGACAGGACTCCCTTAGTTAAATTCCCAATGCATATATTAATCTATAAAGCACCCGCGTTCTCAATCAACAAAAACTTAATTCTGTGACTAGTTGATAGTGACGTATTCAGTCCTTTCTGGTAGCAAACTGACTAACATCCTCATCAGATTTGAGAGGCAGGTTTCAGAGGCACCACTTCAACAAAAGTATACCCTTTAAAGCATTTTGTAATATCTAACAAAAAGGCTTAATAATTTAGCCTACAAAACATAGCAACTGTTCTATTTATATTTCTGTGTGATTTGCATTTTCTTGTTAACTGTTTTTCATTTGAATTTCTGCTCTAGCACAGATTCTCCACAATGGATCAGCATGCTACATAGACTTTAGCCACAGGAAGTTGAGGAGAGAAAATCAACACGAGAAAAAGGGTAAGTCAGAACAAAAATTTACCAATCCTATTTACAACTTCAGGTTACCCCAAACTGCTTCACTATTGTATCTGTATGCCTGTCCACTTCTGGGGTTACATCTATATTCAGGTGTCAATTGAGAGGCAGGATGTGGAGTCCACCAGCATTGGCGGACCCAGAAGGGCTGGGGTGCATCGCCACACTTTAACTAAATAAGTTTCCATCTACCAGAGTGCATCTAAACAACAGTTCGTTTTCAAGAACAGAATTAAAATCCAAGAATGGATGATGCATTTATATCACAATGGTGTTTGAATCCATAATGTTCTGATTCATAGTCAAGAGTATTACTTTGAGTCAAGGCTGACACTTGTGGCACAAACCAATGACCTCAGCACCATAGCAAGATGAGACCGAATACAACAGCATGGATCCTTACCTACCCAGCACATTTGTGGAAATTTGATTGGTAAACGGTCAGACTCAGCTGTTTAATAGCACAAGGGCCATTGACAGTTGAATGGCACATGGCTTAATGATACCCAAATTGCCGAAGTACTAGGAGGTACTTCTAGTACTTGGCATTAAATATACATAATGTTAACACCTTGAGGAAACCATTTTAATTTTAAATGTAAAGAAAACTATGTTACCTAGTCATCACAGAAAACTAGAAACCTATCCAATGAAAATTAAAAACTAGACATAAACGACAAAACAGAAATGTGTTATGATTCGTAATCTATTAATACATATATCTGCTTGCAGCACTATATAATAATAAAGCACCAACAGCAGCTATTCAGAAAAATCATACCTGGTTTCACACTGACAACAGTATATTTCACCTTTAAATCAAATACAATTTTACATTTGTTTTTTGCTTATTTCCAAATCTCATACCCCCATGCAATGTATGGCTCTGCAATACGGAGCATGTTGATTGAAGCCTTATTTAGTCTCACAAACACTCCATTGAAGATCTGACGCAGTCGTAGGAGTTGAAGCACCTTGCGGACTTTAGGGCTAACACCGTTGATGCTGCAAAGCCATGGAGAGAAATTAGCAAGATAGATAAAGGAAAACTTTATTCCACAGCAGTTGCGTATTTGCTGTTTGTCATAACTTTTAAAATGATAACACACTTTTATATTGAAAAAAAGTTTATTCACCTGTAACCACAATAAATAAATAACTATCCATTTAAACTTACCCCCTAATACGGATCACAAAAGCTAGCCTGGGTTCCGCAGGTACGTAGTAATTATTAGCTTTACGTGCCATTCTGGCAAGGCGGATCTCACGTCTGTACATTTGTCTGTACTCCTTGTGGTAACTTTCAGCCCTCTTGTAGATTAGTTTTCTCTTCAGTCTATTTATCTTTAAGCAAAAATATACTTTTCTTAAAATCTTTACTATTTTACTTACTTTAAATAATCAACTATTCCATTATTGCATTTTCCTCAACTCTCCACCCTCAGAAAACCTAACCCTCCAAAAGTATTGAAAGCACACAATAAATAAATTTTCACATTGGTACCATTTTACAGTTAGTTCAGAAGGCAAATTAATGTTAGCATTCATTTTAAGAGGGCTAGAATGCAAGAACAGGGATATATATTGCTAAGGCAATAGAAGGGTCTGGTCAGACCGCATTAGGAATATTGAGGCACTTTTGGGTCCCGTATACATGGAAGCATGTGCTAGCCTTGGAGGGGGTCCAGAGCATGTTTACAAGAAGGGCTCGTCTTAAGTGGAGCAGTTGAGAACTCAAGAGTCTGTACTCAACAGAGTTTAGAAGAACGAGGGGAATCTGATTGAAAATTTCAGAATAGTGAGAAGTCTGGAAAGAGTGGACGTGGAGAAACTGTTTCCAGTAGAAAAGACTGGGACCCGAGGGCACAGCCTCAGAGTGAAGGGCCGACCCTTTAGAACTGAGATGAGGAATTTCTTCAACCAGAGAGGGTGATGAACCTATGAACTCTGGCACAGAAGGTTGTGGAGGCCAAGTCATTGACTGTATTTAAGACAAAGATACATAAGTTGAGTGGCAAAGGGATCAAAGGTTACAGGGAGTAGGCAGGAGAATGAGATTGAGAAATGCATCAGCCATGATCGAATGGCAGAGCAGCCTCGATAGACTGAATGGCCTAATTCTGCTCCGATGTCTTATCTTATATAAACTAAAATGTACATTGTATGCAAAACTGCAGTCACCATCATTCACGACACACCTAAGATGTTAGAATCATAGAATACCTAGTGTGGAAGCTGGCCATTTGGTCTATTGAGTCCGCACCGACCATCTGAAGAGCATTCCACCCAGACCCAACCCCCCACCCTATCCCTGCATTTGCCATGGCTAATCCACCTAGCCTGCACATCCCTGGACTGTGGAAGGAAACCAGAGTACAGGAGAAAACCCACGCAGATATGGGAGAATGTGCAAACTCCACACAGTTACCTGAGGCTGGAATCGAACCCAGCTCCCTGGTACTGTGAGGCAGCAGTAGTAACTGCTGAGCCACCATGCCGCCGTGCACGTTCAGCCCCCACTCCAAAAAAGGTTAAACTTAAAATTTCCTTGTGTAAATTAACATGATAAACTCGTTAGACCACAAATGGTTCAAACAAAAGTTATTTCGTGGGACATGGGCATTACTGGTGTCATCAGCATTTATTGTCCATTCCCAATTGTCCTTGAGAAGTGGTGGTGAGTCACCATCATAGAGTTCAAATATCAATTATTTACAGTTTCACATTAATCTCATGATCAGTAAGAGACACAAGGAAAGGCCTGCACTTATACCCCATTTTTCTGGGCCAATAGGCATCACAAATGAACCTTACGTGAATCGCAGGCACTACTACAAGAAACGTGGCAGCTAATTTGCACACAAGGTCCCAAAAATATGACACAGAACAAATAATTGCCTGAACATATTTGCTCAAATCTTGGAGCAGGAATTGAACTCCAGAACCTCTTGACTCTGAACCACTACCTAGGACTAATCAGATCAACCCCCATGATTTTACTAATTAGCAAAGCAAGCTGTGGCCAACTCTGGCTCCCAGTTCGTATGGGATGTTGCTCCCAAGTGATACTCAGATGACACCGGACGCACTGAAATTGCTTTGCAACTGAACAATTTGTTTACAACGTGTAACAAATGCTGTTAAATTAACCCTCCACATGAATGTTATCTTCGGATCCTAAGTTGCTGTAGTACATATAATTTACCAAGAATACAGATAATCCTTTTTGCTGTTTCTACATTGGGAAGATGCTGAATAAATGATTACCTTTACAAACAATCAACATAATGAATGAGTACAAAAACTACTTATTTATGGCAACCTTTAGTCTTCAATACTAAACAAAAAGAACCCAAGAAATGAAGATGCTTGAAATCTGAAACAAAACCGTAAATTGCTGGAGAAACCGATCAGGTCTGACAGCAAATGTTAAGAGAAAGCACAGAAGATTCACTGGACACAAAACACTGACCCTGCTTTCTCTCCACATATGCTGCCAGAGTTTCTTCAACAATTTCTGCTTTTATTTAGTGTTTATTAAAGGACATCAACACAAATGTTTCCACAATTATGCAGATATGCAAAACAATTAAACTTCTAATTTCATATGCATTATTAAAACACACTGTTAATCCGATAGGGTGAAATGTTTCTCAAACCTTCTTTTCTATTAACAAACGCTTGATGCGCTTGGCCTTCATTAGTGCAAACGCCTGGCGCTTTTTCAAAAGGCTTTCAGGCACAGACGGCACTTTCTTCTCTCTGATAAAGAAAACAGATGGAGGTGGAGTTATTCTACCATAAATTTTTTATCTCAAAACAAAATTTTATCTCAGTGTTCTTGATTTTATACAAATGTCAAACAATGCGTTTATATCCTGATACAGCAGCGATCGAAAAATATTTTCACGCTGTTAGGCCACAGCCTGACAGTTAAGAAGCGAAACAAATAATTTAAAAATAGCGACTAAGCACGCTGGAACAAAGTATGTTTCAAAAAACCATTTCGAAGATCTCGGTTAGTTGATCGGGTTAATCAAATCTTTTACAATAAGTGAAAGCTTCAACAAGGCTCAGTGCACAAAAATCCGGACTGAGGAGTATCATAACATTGCGTCCAAACTAATTATCTTTGAGATATAATTGGTAAATACACGTATGGCTTATCACACGCAGTTATCCTGCGGACAAACCACAGCAAAAAGTGAGATTTAGCCAAGGATGGATTCGGATTTTAAAAGGCTTCACTACAGACTCACTTCGTCTCCGCCATGATCGCTGTCGCCTGAAGGGGGAAAAAGGCAGCAACGCATGCGCGGCGAGCAGTTAAAGCCTGCCGTTGGAGACTGTCTATGTTGCTGCCTGAGTCAATGCGGCAAACATCGAAGCATTTCAAAATATTCAATGGGTTAGCTAGTTTCTTGGAAGTAACATTTAGTATAAAAATAAGTGAGGGATGAACAGGGATCTGTCGATTATTGAAAAGGGGGAGTGACAGCACTGAAGTGGTCCCCTTGGTAGGGTCCTTGGTCGCGGGGCCGTACAGGTTCCTTATTTAAAGAGTGACGCGGATTGAAGATGATCAGAGTCGGGAAGAGGAGGTGGTGTTGGCGGTGCAGGGGGCTGGGTTGGAACGGTAATTGGAAGCTAGGGGAAGGGAGGAGAGCGAGGGCAACATTTATATATTCATACTGAGAGAAGACCTCGGCCAGCTGAGCTGCCTCGCGTCGCCTTTTCCTCCCCACCCCCTCCCTCTCTCCCGTACCCCCTGCAATAACGGCCCAATCTCTTTTTTTTCTCTCTCTCCCCGGCACCCGCCATGAATATCGTCGCGGAGTTTTTCGTTGTCATTTTCAAAGTGCTCTGGGCGTTCGTGTTGGCCGCGGCGAGATGGCTGATCAAGCCCAAGGAGAAGAGTGTGTGCGATCAGGTGTGCCTGATCACGGGAGCCGGCAGTGGGCTTGGCCGGCTCTTCGCGCTGGAGTTCGCCAAGAGGAATGCCAACCTGGTGCTGTGGGACATCAATCAAGAAAGCAATGAGGAGACGGCCGAGAAGGTCCGGCAGCTGGGCGCTCGAGTGCACACTTACACTTGCGACGTGAGTAAGAGGGGCAGCGTCTACCGAACGGCTGACTTGGTGAGGAGAGAGATCGGAGACGTGACGGTGCTGGTCAACAACGCAGGTGTAGTGTCCGGACACCATCTCCTCGAGTGTCCCGACGAACTTATCGAAAGGACCATGATGGTCAACTGCCACGCTCACTTTTGGGTGAGTTTGAAGAGCTAGGAAAGACTTTTTTTATATTTTCAAATGTTTTTAGCTGTTGGTAATGTCATTGAAAAATCCTTCCTTGCATGTTCTCCCCCGCAGTTTAAAATAGTGGGCACGAAAACTGTGCCGGGATAAACGCATGTATCTGATAAAACTGAATAAATTGTATTGTGTATTAGCACTTGTGATCCAGGTGTATTTTGAGATGTGGCGGAAGGTTTTTTAACTTCACCAAGATGTTACCAATGTACAAACACGCGTGCATCAAAGGTTGTGGAATAAAAAGTTTAAAGAAATAATCGCTGCAAAGCAACAGTATCCGCATCGCGCTGCCGCTAGGAAGTTTTTGTTCCCAAAAGCTCATTCAGACCGGTGGGTGTTAATAAACATCGTATAATTCACTAAGTTAATGACAGATGCAACACAAACAGTGCTCTCGCACACTTTTTTTTAAACTTTTTTTTAACTAGGTGGCTCGGTGGTTAGCACTGCTGCCTCTCAGCACCAGGGACCCGGGTTCAATTACATCCTCGGGTGACTGTGTGGAGCTTGCACATTCTCCACGTGTCTGCGTGGGTTTCCTCCCCTCCGGGTGCTCCTGTTTCCTCCCGCAGTCCAAAGATGTGCAGGCTAGGTGGATTGGCCATGCTAAATTACCCGTGGTGTTCAGGGATGTGTGGGTTATAGAGGGATGGGTGTGGGTGGGATGTTGTGAGGGTCGATGTGGACTTGTTGGGCCGAAGGGCCTGTTTTCGCACTGTAGGGGTTCTGTGATGTAAGTTTTAAAAAAAAAAATTCTCAATTTAATCCTGATCCTCGTGATTCAAAGCGGTTCTGTGATTTATTGATACCTCAAGGGAAGGGTTTTAATCCCAGGCTATCCCCCATAGCAATAGCGATGTTTGCCTGTGTGAAAGATCTCCGATCACTTTGTCCCTTGCCAAAAAGTCCGATGTTTATTCAAATACAAACGTTCACCCTTAATCCGATTATTTAGCCGAACTTTAGAAGTTTGTAAACGTTTTCTTGCATGCTTTCTAGCTGCCGATATTATGAGCACCATTTATTTTCATAGCCTTTTCTGAAGACTGAAACACGTGCACGAAATCGGTGGCCTTGAGCTTTACAGACCGTCTCGATTCTGTTTATAAACGAGAGCAACCAGAGTGTTCTCTTTAAACAGCAGTCTGATTACTGGGGAATCTTAGCACTTTTTAATATCTTCTTTAAAAAGGAAACGATCTCCTTGTTGGGTGAGGAATCTTGTGTTGCAGTGGTAGTGGCCCGAAGCCACCAGGCCTGGAGTTTCAACATCTCCGGACAAGTTGATCAGAAAAGAGATTCTAGTTGAACCGTGACACACAGCAAGTTTACCCGTGTTGCTGTTATGGAAGGGACTTGAATCTCCGTCCCAGCTCTGTTGAATTGATTCCTCCTTGACGTGAGTTCACTAATCCTTTTGAACCGACCGAACTCTTAATTTCTACTGGAAACTTTAATGCGATTACTTGACCTGAGTCGCTGGTAACTGTACGCTTTACGAATCCAGTATCGCAGTAATGAGAGATAACAAGGCGTAGAGCTGGATGAACACAGCGGGCCAAGCAGCATCGGAGGAGCAGAAAGCTTACGTTTCTTGGCCTACTGTGTTCATTCAGCTCTACACCTTGTTATCTCCGGTTCTCCAGTATCGGCAGTTCCTACTCGCTCCTAGTGATGAGAGTACTGTTTTCTATAAGGGTATTAACCTACAACGTGAATAAAAGCAAAATACTGTTCATGCTAGAAATCTAAAATAACGAAGTGGTTATTGCACAGCATTACGTGCATTCACTTTTTTTTAAATGACCGGTTTTGTTCACGTGCTATTCTCGACAATAAACACGATTCTGGATCTCCCAAAGGAACTCCAGATAGCGTCTCCCTTCAACGATTTCTGCCTACACGAATGTTTGTGGTGTCAATGTCTAAAATTGCCGCTTTTTAACCGGCAGAAAGTGCTTTCTTCTGGGGCCGGAGAGACAAATTTACAACGTCTATCATTAAAACTTCGGCATTTACATTATTTATTTTTTGAATAAGATTTGAGTTTTAAACTTTTGGAGTGATGAGGTCTGGAAGATGTCATCTTCCAACTTAATTCCGCCTATCGTATAACTTGTTTTGTACTGTTCACCAAACCTGAAAAATACCTGGCGGAGTGGGTTCTGACTCGATCGAATTACTGTTGAATCTTTATCCGTGGAAGACGTGCGACTTTTGGGGTGACCCAGTGAGACTATATCCTCGTCAACGAATCAATGATTTGACCAACTTGCGATTGGAGTAGGCGTCAGTATCAGTGGTTGAATTTACCACTCAATAGATACAGACCACAGTAACAATCCCTCCGTTTTTCAGCACACTTCTGCACCAAACTTCTTTAATCTCCTTTCAAAATAAAGAAATTTAAATGAAAGACTGGATCTGTTTGTCACTTGATTATGAATGATGCATTATTTGATGTCTTTACAGTCAGACCTGTGAAGCCGTTTTCAGAATAAAAGGAATTCTGAGGGATAAGGACCCTGCTATGTAAATGCTCTACAAATAAATGTTACAGTGGCTACTATTATTCTGCCATGTATTGGGTAGCAGTTTTAACCTAAACCCCCTAGCTGAGTTGCTGTAGCTCAAGTGATGCCTCTGCCTGGAAAAGCTACACAATAAGCAAATGGTACTATGAATCAAGCTGCTCGGAGTGACAGTTAGGATAATAAGTCTGACTTTACAACTAGCTGGGCAAACGTGAACTGATGGGTTAGTTCAAAGTGCAGCTTGAATTCACGATATAGCAGCAATGCCATGTTAAAGCTTGAAAAATGTTAGACCCCAAATTTAAAAATACTGGGCATGTTTGACTCTAAAACAGAGCAAAAAAAAACTTTGAAAATCCCACCCTGGAGGCATGAAATGTAGCCTTAACATTTATGTAATAACGTGGCATGTAGCTTCCCCTTTTGTCTCGTCAGTCCTGATTGCAAAGTACTGAGTACAGCACAACCTATATACAGATATTCCAGGCATGGTATTTTCTTTCTCCATTTTCCCCCACTGATCAGAAAGTGTGACAACACATAAAATTACCTTGCCTCGTCAGTCTGATCCTCTTCATTCCTTGAATTCTGTGTATAGGTAGCAAAACCCTACATTTGTCAGTGGAGTGACTGCAATGTGAACCACAGCAAACAAGCAGAAATGAGTGGAAAGAGCTCCTTCTTGCAGATATTATTGAATTGGTGGATAGGATGTAGCTTTCTGCAAATAATTATAGCACTAAAATTTTTTTTTTGGCTGGCATGTTTGTATTTTGTTACCCATCCATGCAGCTACATATCCTGACCATTAAGTGGCACTACAGTAATTTTATTAGACTACATATCAATGATCTCTTGCTTCTTTCAAAAAAAAGCTTTCATTCTTCTTAAAACATCCTTTTTATAAGACTATAATATGTAGGAGCAGAAAGCCATTGTCCATTGTTTACTCTGCCATTCAATGAGATTCATGGCTGATCTGATCATCCTTTTAATCCACTATCCTGCCTTTTCCTCGTAACCATTGATTTTCTTGCTGATTTTAAAAATCTATCTCAGCCCTCTATACTTAACACCTCAGCCTCTGCAGTAAAGAATTCAACTAATTCAGTACTGTCTGAAGAAATTTGTCCTTGCCTCTGCCTCTGTCTTAAACGGTGGCCCGCATTCTGAGGCTATGTCCTCTGTACCTTGACTCTCCCACAAAGGGAAACCATGTCTTTGCATCTACCCTTTTTGTGTTTTTTGGATTTAACCAGATATTGTCCTCCAATCCAAAAATACTTTCCACTCCAAAGCTTTTAAGAGTTTAAAAATAAGCATTATTTATAATCCTCAATTATTTTATTATCATGCTGGCTATGGAGATTTTTAATGAAGGATGCCTCGCTCTCAAATTAAATGGTGATTTAGCTAATTATAATTTTGGATTTACTCTTTTCTCTTTTATTGCAGGCCTATAGTTTAACAGGACAATTTCTACTGTAGCTAGAGTACAAGTCTTGTAAAGTCATAGAATTCTTTATCAGTTGC